GGTTCTTGTTTGGTCTGCACCCTTTCGTTTCATGTATCCAGTTTCGTCCATCTTTTATTTTGTTGGTTTTTTTTTTCAAGGTTGTTGGTTTTTTTTTTTGTAGTCGAAGGTGCAGACCTTGGGATTCAGCTTGTTTGTTTTTACTTGTTGAAGGTTGTTGATTTATTTTTCTTGTTGTTTTGTTGTGTATTTCTGCCTTGTGTGTCAATTTTTGTTTTTGCTTTGGTGTCCAGGTTCTTTCTGCAGTTTCTGGTTCTCCATTTTCAGCAGTTCCTTTGCATTCTACTGTCGCTCTCTCTCCGATTCTGTTTCCTGCACCTGTTTCCTCTCCAGTTTACGACATCGTCTTTTTGTAGTGCCGGCGTTTCAGCATGCCACGCCGGGTTGGTAAGGATCCGGCGGACTCGTCCAATGTCGCCAGACAAGGTCACAACACGAAGAGTTTCGAATCGCCGTTCAAGGTTGATCCGACAATCGACGGCAAGAGAGACGACCCCGTCTGGCATTTCATCGCACGAGGTCGTTATTTGGATGGGTCCACTGCGGCGGGTAGAAAGAGTGGTCGTCGCTGCCTGTGCATGTTGTGCGGGCGTTCGATGTGCGGGGGCGCTAAGGCCGCCAAGGAACACTTCTCAAAGAGCGAGAAGTTCCGATGTGAGGTGGCCACTCCTGCAGTGTGGTATGTCATCTGGTCAAAGGACATGACAAAATGTCCGAAGGAGTTCGTATCGGCTATCGAGGCATTGCGGAGCTTATCTCACGGTCATCCGAACTTCCAGTGGCCACCGCTACGACACCCTGAGGATTCAGTGTCACCCCTCGATTCCACCACCGTCCCCTTGGAGACGGTGCCTTCATCCAGTCCAGCAGTTCGAGTCACAGTGCCGCGTCGCACGCCACCGCGTCCACCAGCTCCAGCGTGTGCACCGCTGACAGGGACACAGGGTGCAGGTGGTTTACACGTCGGTCGGTCCGTGCCGGCCAATGAGGCCCCTCCTGTGCGAGGGGTTGGGGGCTGTGCGGCGTTCGACGAACACGACACATGTGTTTTTGTTGAGAGCCGCACGTGGGGGGGGGGTGTTGGCACTTCGGCTGGACTTGCCACTGTGTTTACCAGTGGCAGACAGCCACATGCTGCACGGGCTACCACTATTGCGGCCCCGGCCACAGCTGATCGCGGTCCGTCGGACCACCCTTGATTGCCGCCTCCACCGTCACGAGTGGTACAGGGTGCGGCCGCCGACCACATTGCTACGATGGGCAGACTGGAGCCTTCGCGCGTGGCTGCAGATGCTCAACAGCCTACTTCCCTAAGTTCCCTTCCTCGAGTTGGGGAACGGGCAATGCCCGGGCTGGGTGCTTCTGAGGTCCCCATTCCGGTGTCTGATTCGTCGTCAACCCCGCTTCCACCGATGATAGGTGCTACTGCAGCTGCTCCACCTGTACTTACCGGTTCATTGGATCCTTTGTACCGCATGCGCGACATTGCAGCGGCCCAGAGCGCGGCACCTGAGAGTCCTGGTGGGTTATTGGATGTTGGGATCCTTGGCGGGCGAGCCACGACAGGACGTGGCCGGGGCACCTTTCGCCAACAGGTCGTCACGTTGTATGATTCGGACCCTTTGGAGCACGCATGACATTTGCAGATCATGCGCTTCATCGTCGAGAGTGGGATGGCGTTCAACTGCGTTAAGCTTGAAAGCTTCAAACGCATGTTCGCGATGATCATCCCGTCGGGGGTTCCAGGGGCGCCCACGCCCAAAGTACCCACGTACCACATGATGCGCACATCCCTTTTGGATGAGCTGGATGCAGAGGTCCAAAAGCGTGTTCGGCCACTCCTTGACTAGGCGAGAGAGTTCGGTTGCACAATCATGACCGACGGTTGGACCAACATTAGGGGTCAGACATTGTGCAACTACCTTGTCGGGACAAATTTGGGGGCAGCTTATGTGGCCACCGACGTCATGCACGGGAAGAAGGACGCTACTGCCCTTGCGACCGCGTGGTTGAAGAGGGTGAAGTCCATGGAAGTGGACTTGAGCGACATCACAGCGTTCGTGATGGACTCCGCCGGGGTAAACGTCGCAGCGATAGAGGTTTTCCAGAAGGACGAGAGCGTCAAACACATCTTCTGGATTCCATGCGTCGTTCATGTGATGGACCTCATTCTCGAGGACATCGGCGGGATTGATTGGGTGGCCACCTGCATCGCGCAGGCGAGGTTGGTGACGAGGTTCTTGAAGCGCCATGGCCACGCATGGGAGGTTTTGGAGGTCTTCTCGACGAAGATTCTTCTACTGCCGGCGGAGACTCGACTCGGCACTAACGTCATCATGATGACGAGGCTTGTGGACTTGCGGGGAGAGCTCACGCAGCTTGTGGGCGACGACCGGTGGCGTGAGACTGTCTGGTCGACCAGCAAGATCCGCAAGGACGCCGCAGAGGTAACTGCGTGTATCGGGTCTCCTCCATGGTGGGAGGATTTGAGAGCTTTGTGCAAGATGCTGGAGCCTATCATGGATATGTTGAGGCTAGTCGATAGCGACACACGCCAGATAAGCAAGATTTTGCGTCGTTACAAGGTTATGATCGCATCTTGCTTGTCTGCGTGTCGCGACCTCGATCAGGAGCAGCAGGACGCTATTTTGGAGGTGTTCAACAGGCGGCGCACCATATTCCGGACACCCGCCCACACAGCAGCCATGTTGCTGGACCTCGAGTTCCGAGACCCGACGCTGAACGACGACCAGGAGGTGCAGCAGGGATTGATCGAAGCCCTGGTCCAGTTCGGCTATCCAGAGGGATCGGTGCAGTACGAGGAGGTCCTTAGGGCGGTATTCAAGTTCCATACAAAGGACCCTCCTTTCGATGATGTCAACATGCGGCGATCGTTGGCATACTACAGCCACCCTGCCAGTTTTTGGTCCGCGAAGAGTGCGAAGTACCCTCACACGACCGTCTTTGTCGGTAGGATCCTTCGCATTTGGGCGACTGCATCACCATGCGAGAGAGCATGGTCTCGATGGAGCTTCATTCATTCGAAGTCACGCAACAGGTTGGAGGTTTCTCGGGCCGAGAAGCTCGTGCGGTGCCACTGGAACCTCAGACTCATTGATAGACCAACGTTGTGTGACGATGCTCCTGCTGACAGACCCGATATTTTCAGGAACTGGGTGCATTATTGGCAGTGCTGTGGAGGAGAAGGTGGCAGTGGACCAGCAGCTCGTCAGAGGTAGTGGTGCACTGGCGAGGGTGACTGAGGAGGAGTTGGCTCACGCCAGAGAGAGGATGCGCATCGTTTCCCACATGGGAGCCATGCGTCGGGTGGCGGAGTCCGACAGGAGGCGACGCAGGGGCGGAGCAGGTGGACGTGGCGGGCGTGGGCGAGCAGGTGTCGGAGGAACGAGGCGTGGTGGCAGGACTGCTGCATCTGGGACTCGTCGACAGCGGGCGGACGGTTTCATCCGCAAGGCCCGCCACTGGTGGGACGAGGGAGACTTCTTGTTCGACAGCTCATCCACCGACGACGACGATTTTTTTGCATTGGGGACGCCCGCGCCTACGGACGATGAGAGAGGCGACGACGACGACAGAGGTGATGGCAGAGGTGGGGGCGGAGGAGGTGGCAGAGGAGGTGGCGGCGGAGGAGGTGGCGGAGGAGGTGGCGGAGGCGACGACAGAGGTGTCGGAGGAGGTGGCGGAGGAGGTGGCGGAGGAGGTGGCGGAGGCGACGACAGAGGTGCCGGAGGAGGTGGTGGAGGAGGTGGCGGAGGCAACGACATAGGTGCCGGAGGAGGTGGTGGCGACGAGGGAGGTGACGACAGAGGTCGCGGAGGAGGTGGCGCTGACGAGGGAGGTGACGACAAAGTTCACAAAGGAGTTGGCGGCGACGAGGGAGGTGACGACAGAGTTGAGGGGTATGAGGGTGACTTTCCTGTGCGTGGTCGTGGGTTCTTCTTGAAGCGGTTGAGACACGGGCCCAGGCAGGATAGCAGCATCGGCTCTCGTGTGCGCAGGCGTCGTCTTGAGACTCTTCACGATGCGACCGCCACGAACGCACGTGTTGCGCAACACGAGCAGGTTCTCGTGTCTGAGGACTCCCTGGGCGACACATCGGACAAGGACTTCATTCCTCAGACTTCCGACGTGAGGGGCCCGGAGCATCAACCCGGTTTCGTCGAGGGCCTGACCAAGTCTGCAGCGACGATTTCAGCGCAGGAGGAGAGTGGAGTAGGTTTGACTTTTCTCGAGTTTGCGGCGCCCATTGCAGATACTGTGGTCGCACAGGAGTCCCATCGCCATCTGACACAACCCACGGTCGCGGTTCATGCGGAAACTCGAGGAGGGGCAGCCAGTGATGGGCAGACAATTCCTGACGGTGAAGGGAATGTGCCACCTCCTTCCACCGTCGTCTTCACGGGCGCCCACGGGGCACCCAGCGTCGCACTCCCCTCCATAGGCGAGGTAGCACATCCTCCCACGGCTGACGTTGGTTTGGAGGACGGAGAGGTAGCACATCCTCCCACGGTTGACATTGGTTTGGAGGACGGAGAGGTTGCACGTACTCCCAGTTGTGCCCATGAGGGAGAAGTTGCACGTCCTGCCACGGTCAACCACGTTGGCCTCGCCTGCCCCGCTGACAGTCTTCCGCCCACTGCGGAGTTGCTCGCCATGGAGTCAGCGTTGTATGATCTACCTGACGTATCGACTTTGATTTCTCCCACTTTGGCATTTGTGGCACCACCAGCGACTGGTCGAGCGGATGACGCGGATGGAGTGCGTAGAGGATT